CGTCCCCCATTGGAGTCATGCATCTTGTCCTGTACTTACACCCAGAGTGTCCCATTGGCCAATGTTCCATGACCAATGAGAGTGTCACTGCTGATGCGTAGATGTATCTACGCAGGGAACGACTGGATTCGCACGCGAGATTTTGATATTTTAATAAGCTAAAATATTATCGGTATTTGCTAAGTTGTCTGTAAAAATTATAGTTTGGCTTAATTTTCCGATTGACTCGTGGATCTACTTAATTCATTGTCGTTCGTTTTCTAATTGTAGGCTGGCTCCAGTTAAGTAGAATACCCAAATGTAGTTTCATGTTGGTTATGAGCCCTGAGTAGTCGGTTATTTCTCGGCGTTGCAAGATCGGAATGTAATGCACTTGTTCCTGACTCGCCAACATTAGGCGCATGCACGAGGGTTTTGAGCGCTCCGTTATGAATGCGACGGACATGTGTTGTGCTGCTCCAGCTTAAGCCCTTAATCCACAAGTTTTTCCTCGACGTCACAATACCAGAGCATAAGTTGAAATACGGGCCAGTTTTTTCGAGCACAACTAAAATCATCACTGTATAGATAATTTAGACAATTCTTTTTGCTTCGAACCTGCTGCAGCGACTCCAATTCGTGGCTAGGAGGGCTGCGATTAGCTGCATGCACGAGCAGTGCTCTGCGAGTGACAACTGTTGACACAGTCCATCGCTGCTTCCGCGAACACTGGGAAGGCTCCCACACAGAGATAACCGTATGTAGAGGAAACGCGATCGCTGCTCTGTCGCTGCGAAAACACGAGGATCCACTGAGTTCGGTTTCCTTAGCAGTCCTTTCAAATTTAGGCACCTTTTTGCGAGTCTCCCTACGTCTAGCCGCTCAGAGGAGATGAACAGTGTGAGTTCATCGCACTTTTTCATGAGACCGTGAACATTTGAAAAGGCTACACGCAGACCGCAATAGGATCACGAGGGGGCTTTCTGTGTGTGTCGCCTGTTTATTCTGCTTCTTGGCGTCAATTTTCATAGCGCCATTTTCATAGGTTATCTTTCTGAGGGATCGCGATTGTCGAGTTTGAAATCTGTTATAGATTATTGGTTTCATCTCTGAGAAGTTGTGTGCCCTTTTGTTTTTATCTTATCCAGCCACTTGTGCTCGAATTAGAGGAGCATGTTGCTACAAATCATTTTCTGGCCTCAGTCCATTCTTGCTCTAATTCAGTGTTATTCTCTGCTTACTTCTTGTCGCATTTTGTGCTACTAATTTGTTATTTTTGTGAAGGTTGCATGTTCCAAACTGCGTACCATTCCTTTATCCTATAGGTCATATCTGAAAAACGAATGTGAAGATAAAAAGGGACATCCCTTACCCGATTTAGAGTCATGGCACTTGATTAACACTGAGGTTAGTCTTTGGACCACACGGCACAAATATCCATCTCTTCTCTATCTCTCTCTTACTAACCTACTCAGCAATAGCTCCGTGTTTTAATTAGTCAGTTTGGCATGTATTTACGTTATGTGGACAGATGTATCTGATTTTAGTTTTGCTGTTCGGCTGACTTTTTCCCGCGCCTCATCGGTCCACTACTTTGTGCAATTTTCTTTATGTACTATCTGTGAATCCGTCTAAAGTCCCTACTTTCCATCTGTAGTGTCTTTTGTCTATCTACCCGTGAAAAATAAATAATTCGAACAGTTACTCGCTTACCAAAAACACCTGAGTCGTTTTGCGGAACACACTTGTTTTAGGCCAACCTAAATTTCAAGCCTAATGTGCACCTCGAGCTATCCGCTTCGTGGTATGCAAAGTTATGGACTAATTGGCTTTACAAACCATGGAGCATCTGCATGCGAGTCACCAACGGACTGAACTACCTTTATTGTAACGTCCCACTGACGATACAATCTCACGTAGTCAGAAATCCGCGAGAACTTTACACTGACCTATCTACTCACAAGTTATTACGTGGCCAATGCTGGAACAGCCTATCTTATTTGTTTCATTGCTGTCTTTTCAGGACTCGGTCCCTCAACAGGAAAACGGATCAGATTGTGGAGTTTTCTTGTGCACATATGGCGAATTCCTTTCCCGTAACGCCCGGTTCACCTTCTCTCAGGTGCGTCATTCTGCCTTTTTAATGTATGCTTTCATTTGTTAGTTATGTTTTTTGACTGGTAAGAATATTAATATATAATAGATCGTCTCTTTAATTGCAATGTTTGATAATGCTGAGACGAACGAATAAGGTGTTTCATCTGGAAATCCTGAGGACACACTGCTGTTGTTATTATTGCAGATCAGCGACTTGCCGTTGGCGTCGTTTGCATCAAGGTGCACATCAGAGTATAGCCAGAGCAAGACGTAGGTAATCAAAATCTAGCTGCCGACACACTAATCCCGCTTGTTATGACCACTCTCTTTTATTCGGGGTCCGATGTGATAGTTGGTCAGCATGGTAATAACACTGTTAACCTTCCTAACCCAGCAGTATCTGAACATTGTTGTGACGGATTTAAAAAAGACGCTTTTCCTGGTTAACTTTTTGTGACACTTCAATAACCTCAAGCTTCACACCAAGACTATATTGTGTACTAATCGCTCCCACTTATGGGGCCGTGTACCGTCTGTCGGTAAATATACAAATTTATTTATTTATTTAAGTTCAGTCCACCTCAACATACATGATCCAGTAACCCAATAGCGATGAATCCGGTTTACACGATTGGTCGACGGGATAGCATTAGTTAACACTGGTGAGGAAACTTGGGTTGAATGCAAAAGGGATACGGAGAAAATGGGTTTGGAAAATGGAGAGGGTAAAATTAAGCTACGTTGTATGTGTCTTGTAGTTCCCTGCGAGTCAAAACTAAGTCTGGGCAACGATAAAAATCTGTCGTTTGTGAAGCAAGACTTAATTTATATTGCACATAACTGACGGGCAATATTTGGTCACTGCGCCTAACATGGGTTCATTTTATTTTTTACCTTTCACTGTCTGTTTGTGTTCATTTTGTGGTGGACTACAGGCAGACGCTACTGCACCACTTATCAGTAGTGTGGTGCAAGAATGCAGAACAGCCAACAGCAGGCCGTAATGAATTCCCCAAAGGAAAGGAACACTGGAACCGCAGTTGTATGCGCAATACACACCACACAATTACTAGACACCGAAAGAAACCCGCGCCATGCAATCGTAAACCAGGCTGACGAAGTTGGGTGGATGTCTAGTTTGTCAGAACGGATGCACCTAGTTTTAGTTCTGTTTGCGCAATAAAAGCTTCTGCTTACACCTCGGGTTCTTACATTGGTGCCGTGACCAATCAAGGTGCATCATGAAGACCCCTAATCGGAGCCGTTTAATGAAGGCGATGTGAGGATCTCCTCAGAGGACTTTGAAGATGTGCCGAACGCGGTTGGAGTCAAGGCCGGCCGGGAGAAGCTGGTGGCCCTGCGGAGCCTCCTCAAGAGCAGGGCGAAGGCTGTCCTGGAGGCGGAGCGAAGAGGTCCTGTCAAGTTGCAGTGGGCAGCTGCGAATGATGCGTTTGTTGTGGCCGGTCTCACACTGCCAATCGCAGGACTCGTCCGGATTGCGAACCCTACACTGCGTATGCGGCTCGAGGAGGTGGCGCAGATTACTCAAAAGCTGTGCGCTGCGCCACTCGCTGCGCTGAAGGAGGAACACCATGGAGGCGTGGATCGGATGGATACATTTTAATGAATGACGAAACAGCTCGTACAAGACATCAATGGGCTTCGTACTCAGCGCTCGGATGAGCGAGCGAGAATATATTGCTTCTTTTGCGGGAAACCGGTGTTTCAAAACAGTCCTTCAGGGACAGGCGTTTATTCGGCAAAGACACCTCGTCGAAAATTACAACACGTTTCGCAAGCCATAAACCTCGATATGTCACGCGTTCACGTCCATAACTAACGACTTTTCTGAGGCAATGCGATACTACATTTGACTCATTTAAACAAACGATGAGCAACTCACGTGAATGTCGGCCAACCAACAACCAAATCAGTTACGCCTGTCGACCATTGGCTATCTGGCTCTCTCGGTTCACCCACCCGTTCACCGGAATCACAAACCCATCACATCCTGCCATTTTTCGTGTCCTTGTGACTCCATATTGTTATACACCCCATACACTGCCACACCGCGTCATCTTCTTTGTATCTGCGGCCATGCTCTCCTTGCCATACCTCATCGGGAGCTCTACTCCCAGTCCACCTGCTTGTCTCCGGTGTCTTCTCAAATTCACTTGATTTCTTCTGATGGTTTTTCCTCCAACATTTCTTTCGTATGACGTTGCACCGACCTTCGCAGTCACCACACCTTTCTTCCACCGCTCTTGATCATCGGGTGCTAGTTGAACCCACACTGCTTCCCCCATGGTTAGCTTAGCGAGCATCCGTGCACCGCGATCTTAGTACCGTTTCTGAGTTGTCATTCCTCTTCTCAGACTGTTCTGTAACCTCTCATGCTGTGGCGAAACTGGACGCAAAAGTGCACCAAATTCCGGCATCATTGTTCTAGTGCTTCGACTGTATAGACGCTGCAATTTGCTCGAGCCGATGTGCGTTGAAGGAGTGTTGAAATTCTGCAGTAGCATGAGTTACGGGTCTTCACCAGTAGCTCTAGTCTTTAATAACAGCCGTTTGGCCTGCTTCACTTCTGACTCTGCCTTTCCATTAGCTTGGCTGTGATATGGGCTGGTTTTCTGGTGCATGGATTCCCACTTGGTTCCAAACGCCTAAAACGCAGCGCTAAGAAACTAAGGACCATTGTTAGAGACCATCTCTTCCGGTATTCCGTGCCGCGCTGATTCACAACTGAGCTTGTTGATTACTGCTTCAGTGGTCGTACTGGTAAGTAAATCGATTTCAAACTAATTACTATAGTACTTCACCGCGAGAGTAAGTAATCTTTCCCGTTGTCACAGAATAAATCCACCGCCACCTTTTGTCACGGTCGATCAGGGACATAATGCAGCAGCATTGGTCCCCTCGTCTGCCGAATTTCGTGTGAACGGCACACCTCGCAATTCGATACATGATCTCTGGTTTGACCCGTAATTCCTGGCCAAAAGATCAGTTCTCTTGCTCGGTTTATGGTATAGTTGGCACTCTAATGAGCGCGATGAACGTATTTCAGCATTTCTCATCAGAGCGTTAAGGGATTCAGAATACGGCTTCCCTTGAGAAACAAACCATCATAAACAGAGAATTCATCCTGAAAATTGAAGTAAGGCGTTAGTTCTTTCGGCAGCTGCTTCTTGCTTTCTGGCGAATAGCATCTCGCAAAGCTGAAATCGTTGTATGTTCTTCTGTGTGGCGCCTTATTACATTCATACGATCTTCCGTCACTGTCAGGTGTTTTACTAGGTTTACTGCCTCGACCTCATTTGGATTATGCTCAGGCACCGGTAGATGAGCTCTTGACAGCGTGTCCGCGATGAACATCTGTGCACCAGGCGTGTCCACAATAACCATGTCGTACTTTTGAAGCCGGATAATCATCGGCTGAAGACGACGCGGAAGGATGTGCAACCGTTTACGGCCTATGGACACAAGATGTTTTTGGTTAGTATACACCGTTGTCTTTCTTCCGAAAATATAATCGTTGAAACACTCCATGGCATATACTATCGCGAGCATCTCCTTCTCAATCTGCGCATCACGCTGCTTGTTCACTGTGAGTGCTCGGCTGCGGAAATCCAGTTTTTTCAAAAAAAGTTTCCCTTCTCCAGAGGCTGCACTGGATCATAATATCCGAGTACAGACGCGTTGCTGATAAATTGCTTAATAGTTGCAAACGCAGTTTCCTGTTTCTTTCCTCAACTCCACTTTACTCCTTTTTGAGTTAACTTCCTGATCGGCGTTATGATATCAGCGAGTCTAGGCATAAAATGCTCAAATAATTCACCATGCCATTTAAGCGATGGATTCCCTTCACGTCGTTAGGGGGCGGCATCTCTCGTAGTGCCTTGCTTTTTCACCTATCGATTCAGAATGCTTGGGTAGCTAGCACATGCCCATGGAATATCACCTCGTCTTTCCGAAGCTAAATTTTCTCGCGTTTAAGCTTGATGTTCTTTTGCACACAATGCTGTAACAAACGGGTGGCGGTTAGCGTCATGCTCCCGTCCCGTGTAGCCCTAGATTAAAACATAGTATGCCACACATGTTACATCAACTAAATCGTCTAGCGCCTGCACCAATCGTTTCTGGAAACTTTCACTCGAAACCTTCAAACCAAACAGTAAACGCAGTCAACGATAACGCCGGAAAGGTGTTGCAACTATAGTCAGGAAACTGGATTCTTCATCTAGAACCACATGTTAAAATGCGGAAGACAGGTCTACCTTCGTGAAAGATTTAGCTTTGGACAGACACGGCAAGTAGTCTTCTAGGGTAGGTAGCGCATAATACTGTCTGCCCAGTGTCTGATTTAACGGTTTCGGGTCAATACACAAGCACAGTTCCCCCGTCTTCTTCGTAATGATTGCCACCCATTCAGTTAGCCCGTGAACTTTTGCAATCACACTCTCTCTCGCTAATTTGCCCAACTCAGTGCAAATGGAACTCTCCTAGCCGGTAGCATTGTCGGTCGTATGAAAGGATCTAACGATAGGTGAGTAGTTCCCTCAAATTTTCCCAAACCCGGGCTAAACACAGCCGGATACTGGTCACTAATATCGGTTTCTCCATGGCAAGCATGCACGAAACGATCATGATTAAAAACAACTAAACCGAGATACTGGATGGATCAGTGCCAAATATCAGCGTGAGCTCCTCATCCACGACCACAAACTGCAGTCGATGTCAGGCTCCGTCCCTTGGGTTAACCACTTCCATTGTTGTCTAGCCCTTCGGAATAAGTTTGGAACCATTCCGCATGCACAGGTAATCTTGATCGGATCGAATGCACAATCCGGGACAGTGCTTCCTTGCTAGGATGTTGACGGTAGCTGCCGTGTCTAACTGGAACCGTACGACATTGCCTCCGATCAAAAGACTTGTGTAGACACATTTTTGCGGCACCCTTCGAGACACATTGGGTGATTGGCAGCAATGAGCAAATTGGTTCCTTTTTCCACATTTAGCGCATTT